CCAAATTCCACCCCCCAAATCTCCAGGTATCTCCCAACCCAGAGCTGGCAACCTGTGATCCCTCTAAGCTGAGTTATCGCAAGCTAGCTCACAGTTTTTCAGCCTCCGGCTCACTCATTTTTGTCTTAGCTCAGGAAGGAGGGCTCCGGAGCAAACTAATTTATGCAGCAGCCAAATGGCTCGCTCACAACTTTGACGCCAGCAGTTCACAAAGTAGAATTTTTGCTCACAAGACTCCACAGCTTAGAGGGAGCATTGGCTGGCAACCCTATCAAACCTAACCGCGTTCTTCGGCTGGCTCATCTAGTCTACGGTCGGGGTCGCAGCACCTACTGGTGGTTCCCGGCCCCAAGGACATCAAGCTGGCTGCAACCAGGGCCAGGGCTTTCTCGGCGGAGGCTCCTGTCTGGTGGAATGAGCTCCCAGAGCAGGTTCAGGCCCTGCGGGACCTGGCGCAGTTCCGCAGGGCCTGCAAGACTGAGCTCTTCCGCCAGGCCTTTGCGTAGGAGCCGCCGCCACCACTTTACCACCACCGAGTTGCCATCTTCTACGGTGGATTAGATCTGGAGGTGAGCCGGCCCTGGGCAGACGCCTAGTTAACCGAAGAATGCTTGTTGTCAGGTTTGGTTGATGCAGGGCTATTTTTGGGCAGGAACGCACAGGAACAGAGTTCCGGCTGGCTCCCGAGTTGGCCACGCCCAGCAGGAACTCATTGACATAATAGGCCACACCCAACAGCAGGAACTCATTAGGATTGGCTACATTAGGGGTGTGTGGCCTAGCATGCAAAGGAGTTCCTGCTCCAAAAAGAGCCCTGGGTTTTGACAACAAACAAGGTGAACAGAATAAGAAGCAAAAGGTGGGTGTGGCTGGACGAACACACTTCTGGTAACACGGGTGTGTGGCCTCATAGGCTAATGAGCTGTGCTGTCAGGGGTGTGGCCTAATATGCTAATATGTTTCTGCTGTTGGGTGTGTCCAATTATGCTAATGAGTTCCTGCTGGGCTTTTTCTACAAAAAAAGCCCTGGGTCGATGAATGGAACTCATCCTGGATTAAGGAAATTTAACATCAAGAGCACCGCACTTTACTTAATGACTGTTTTATACTGTTTAATGATTGTTTTTATGTTGTTTTAGTCATTGTTATGGCGATTGCCTCTGTTGTAGCTGCACTGAGCCCGTTGGAGAGGGCGGGGTATAAATCTAATAATAATAAAACATAAAAAAATTATCTAGCTCTTAATCTTGGCTCTTGCACCCCTGTCCTTCACGTAACTGATCTGTTTGCCCGCCTGAAACTCAGAAGATCAACCCGAATGAAATGCAGCACCCCCTTCCTGCCCCCCACCCCCCCAATGGGTAGCAGGAGACTCCCGTCTGATGGTTTTACGATCTGGAGCCGTCTGGCCAATCTTTTAAGCCTGTTTTTCTAACGACTTCCTTGGCTCTTTTAATTTAATTACTCTACCAGTGAAGAAGAAGGGTCTTATTCACGCTGCCTCTGTTTATAAACAAAATAATGGCTCCCTCCGTCTCCTGGAGGTGGGAACCCAACGTGAAACTGGACCAGGGCATCTGGGGAATTCATCACTCTCCAAAGATACAGTGCAGGGGGGAAACATGAAGCCGCGGGTGTCTGCGTGGGTGGTGAAAGCAGACCTAACCGGATCCTGTGGGACGAGGCCCTCCAGGTCGACCCTGGTCAGTCATCTTTGCAGGACTCTGAGGAGAGAGTGTCACATCCGCTCGGAAGACCCCTCTGACTCGGCTCCAAGCATGGTTGCCAGCTCTGAGTTGGGGAAGACCAATGAGAAGCCCCACCGGTGGAGCTCCCGGTGGCACCTGGTATTTTTGGCTACTGTGTGACAGAGTGTTGGACTGGATGGGCTTCTCTTATGGTCTCTGTATTCCTGGTGCTTGGGGGGGACGGAACAGTGAGAGCAGGGCCGGCTCACTCACTAGGCGAACTAGGTGATCGCCTAGAGCGGGACGGCCCTTAGGGGCACCAAACTGCACCCGGCCCCGTACTCTGGGAGTTTCTTGATTATTTGTGTTTTTCATTCTTCTTAAAATGCATTTATTTTTTTAAATTGGTGGGCGCACGGTGGGGGGGGGGCAGAAAGGATCCTTGCCTAGGGTGCAAAATAAGCTGGAGCCGGCCCTGAGTGAGAGGACTTCTGGAGTTCTGGCCTTGCTGGTGGACTTCCTGATGGCATCCGGGGCAAGGGATGCTCTGTATTTTTGGTGCTGGGGGGGGTCAACAGTGGGAGGGCTTCTAGTGTCCTGGCCCCACTGCTGGACCTCCTGATGGCACCTGGTATTTCTGGCCACTGTGTGACACAGAGTGTTGGACTGGGTGGGCCTTTGGCCTGATCCAACATTGGCTTCTCTGATGTTCTCTTATGTTCTTATGTAGGAGGAGTAGTAGGAGTTGGATTTATCCCCCACTCCTCACTCGGCATCTCAGCGTGTCTTACAAATTCCTTTCCCTTCCCCTCCCCACAACAGACCCCCTGTGAGGTAAGGTGGGGCTGAGAGAGATCTCTCGAGAACTGCCCCCGAGACAACAATGTGAGAGAACTTGTGACTGACCCAAAGTCACCCCAGCTGCTGCATGTGGAGGAGCAGGAACTCAAACCCGTCTCTCCCAGATTAGAGTCCGCGCTCCTAACCACGACACCAAACTGGCCCACAAGCAGGATGACTGCAGCAGCGTCACAGGGTTGCCAACCCCAGCTTGGGAAATACCTGGAGATGTGGGGGGTGGAGCCTAGGACGGGACAGGATTTGAGATTTGGGGAGGGGTGGAGTTTAGAAAGTTCTGGCATAAGGCCACAGAGTCCGCCTTCCAAAGCAGTCATTTTCCTCCAGAGGAACTGATCTCTGTCATCTGAACATCAGTTGTGATCCTCGGAGAGCTCCAGCCCCCGCCTGGTGATTGGCAACCCTAAGCCCCTCCTGTGTTCCCCAATGACTGGTTTAAGGAGGCATACTAGCTCTGGTACTGGAGGGAGCCAATATCCGAGAGTAGTGGCTACCGATGTTATGATAGGAAGAGGGGAGTTAACCCTCGATTGTTTGGTTTTCCAAAACCGCTGGTGTCCATTAACCCTCCACGGCTGCCTCTCGGGATGTCACGGGTCACGGAGTGCCCCGGCGCTCCAGCCTCACGGCCAGACGGTTCTGCCTTATTAGCAGCCTGAAAACTTCCATGCTGAGACCGGAGAGAGGGGAATGCGTAAAGCAGGCCCCAGCCACAGCTGGGTGACACATGACATGTCTTCCCTGACAGATTAGCCGAGGCAGATTAAACGGTCACCTGGGAAACACGCTCGAATGGCCAAGAATGCACAGATTCACAGAAGATGGAGGAATTCCGGCCGAGCGCCCAGTCCATGTGCACTTGGGATGTTCAAACATCACTCCGCAATGCTGACGGGGCCTTCCCAGAACTGCAGGAAGGGGACAGTCGAGCTCTCTAAACTGGCTCGTCATCCAGTGTCAGGAAGGGTTCGGTCCAAACTGCTCGCCGCCAAAGCGGTGCCCATTGAGAAAGCTGGAGGCCTTTGAGCGGCACACTGCTGGGAACAAAAATCAAGCAGCGATGCTCAAGAACAGAGATGGCCAAGTAGCGTAGGGATGCCAGCCTCCAGGAGGGACCTGGAGATCCCCTGGAATTGCAGCTCATCTCCAGACTACAGAGGTCAGCTCCTCTGGAGAAAAATGGATGCTTTGGAGCAGGGGTGACAAACATAAGGCCCGGAGGCCGGAACCGGCCCGCCCAGGGCTCATATGTGGCCCGTGAGCAACTAGTACAAGGCAGGGAAGAGGAGACTGCTTGAGGGAGGAGTGGGCGGAGCCACTCCGATTGTGGCTTCAGCGTGGTGGAACCACCTCGTCTGCAGCAGTCAAGCAGCGTGGAAGCGTCTGCCCAGCACTGTACTGCTGGCTCTCCAGTCCGCCCATATGGGTTTTCCTTTGCACCCCCCCTCCCAGCCCATGGGGCCTTGCAGCGAGGATATGCCAATTCGGAGCTTACCAGCTGCTGTCCTTTATACAGTTTACGTTTCCAGTACCTGGCATTACGTTTTAGGGCACACGTGGCCCAGCTCAACAAACTGACATTTATGTCATTTCCGATCCCTCATGACAAATGAGTTTGACACCTTTGTTTTGGAGGGTGGACTCTGCCGCATCGTACCCCACTGAGGTCCCTGTCCTCCCCAGGCTCCACCCCCAAATCTCCAGGAGTTTCCCAACCTGGATCTGGCAACCACACACACTGCATCCAGTGTTCCCTCTAAGCTGAGTTAGTGTGAGCTAGCTCACTGTTTTTTAGCCTTTGGCCCACACATTTTTGTCTCAGCTCAGGAAGGATGGGGCTCCAGAGCAAACTAAGTGTGCAGCAGCCAAAACGGTTCACTCACAACTTTAATGCCAGTAGCTCACAAAGGAGAATTTTTGCTCACAAAGCTCCACAGCTTAGAGGGAACATTGCATCCCCCTTCTTCTCTCCTTCCCAACTTTTTAACTGTTTGCCACCTCGAGGACCCCAACTGAGTGGAAAGGTGGGATGCAATTTTTTTTACCTTAAAAAACAACAACAACACAGTATGGTGCCATCGCGTGGTGTAGAGGTTAAAGCGTTGGACTAAACTCAGAGAGACCCAGATCCAAATCCCCGCCCGGCTACTTAAACTTTCTTTGGTGGCCTTGGACCAGTTAGTTTCAGAGGGTAGCTGCGCTGGTCTCCTGTCGAAGAGCCGGATTCGAATCCAGCGGCCCCAGAGACCAACAAGGTTTTCAGGATGTGAGCTTTCAAGAGTCGGCGCTTCCTTCGTCAGATAGAAGACTCGTATATGGATATCCGCCCACCCAGCGGTTCGAAAGCAAAAGTAAAATGGAGCAAGTAGATAAATGGGTACCTGCCCTTAGAGGGTAGGGGGCACCCTCCTCCGTGAGGTGTGTGGTATGGTGGAGACATCAGCGGCGGCGACGATGGCGGCAATGGCGGTGGAGCGGCGGCGAGACGATCCCTGGTGGCCAGTGGAGAGCAACATTGTGCGGCGAGACCCAGCGGAGGTGGAGTCGCGGAGGAGCGCGGTGACGTGGCGGCGCAGGCACGGCGGAGCCGAATGCGGACATAGGCCAGGCCGAGACTGACACGGGGCCGTGCGCCAGGAGACCACAAGCTGGAGGAATACCGGAAAGTGGGACCACCTGCTCCTGAACACCGGAAAGTGGGACGCCGACCCCAAAATGGGCCGCCTAAAGGAAAAAGAAAGCCGCAAAGCCAATGTATAAATAAATAAAAATAAATAAATATCTCATATCAAACGGAAGGAGCTTAGAATCGCGAATGCTTATCCTATGTTGTTGGTCTCTAAGGTGCTACTGGATTCGAATCCAGCTCTTAGACCAGTTATGCTCCCTCAAAGTAGCCTACTTCAGAGGGGTGGCTGTTGCAAAAACAGAATGAGGGAGGAGAGAATGCCATGCATTGGCCGGGACCCTTGCCAGAAACAGCAAGATAGAAGAAGAAGAAGAAGAAGAAGAAGAAGAAGAAGAAGAAGAAGAAGAAGAAGAAGAAGAAGAAGAAGAAGAAGAAGAAGAAGACCTTCCCCTCCCCACAACATACACCCCATGAGCAGTGTTCTCTCTAAGCCACGTTAGTGTGAGCTAGCTCACGGTTTTTTAGCCTCCGGCTCACACATTTTTGTCTTAGCTCAGGAGGGATGGGCTCCAGAGCAAACGACTTTATGCAGTAGCCAAATTGCTCGCTCACAACTTTAATGCCAGTAGCTCAGAAAGTAGAATTTTTGCTCACAAGACTCCACAGCTTAGAGGGAACATTGCCCGTGAGGTAGGTGGGGCTGAGAGAGCTCTTTCCAGAATTGTCCCTGAGTGAACAGCTCTGACAGAACTATGGCTTGCCCAAGGTCATCCAGCAGCTGCAAGTGGAGGAGTGGGCAGTCAAACCCGGTTCTCCCAGATTGGAGTCCGTGCGCTTAACCCACGACACCAAACAAATGCAGCTTTTGACTTATTCAGTATAAAACTCCTGTCTCCAACATGCTAACGTATTATCGAGACATTGCAAATCGTGTAGATGGCCGAGGAATGCAAACAAAGACAGATCATGGTCCAAAGGAGATTTAAAATCTAAATATCTGACAGTGGTGGCTCAGATAACGGAAGGCTTAAAAAGCATTGGTGATTACATAAACTTGGGCTTCGTTTCCAGCAAAGGCGAAGGACTTTTGACAAGATCGATCGTTCAAAAATGGCACTGCCAAACTCCCCCCTCCCTCCCCGCCACCCCCTTCCTAATCTTCGGCACGCAACCCGGGCATCGTGGCAGCAATTCAATCACAGGAAGTAGCCGGAGGAACACGATTAGGGCGGGTACCGGTGCCAAGCCCTTAGATAAACAGTATCAGAGTCAGAGTGTTAGCAAAAAGAGCAAGCAGATAGTGCTTGGTCCCTAACGGTTCTTCTGCCTGCCTCAACTCTGCGAAGGGGACCGAGAGGCTGCTGGTGGAGATAGCGATGGATGGACTGGTTAGCCCTGAGGGGTAAATGGAACCTCCAGGCTCAGAGGCAGTGTATCCCCAAACGCGACAGTAGGACTGTTGGCGGGCCGTCTGGTTAGACACTGGATGATGGATCTTTGGTCCGGTCCAACAAGGCTTTAAGATATTTAAATAGCCAACCAAAATCAGTGCATAACAACAGTGTATGCACATAGATTTTGGTAGCCGTGTTGGTCTGAATCAGAAGAACAACGTCTGAGTCCAATGGCACCTTTAAGACCAACGAAGTTTAATTCTGGGTATCAGCTTTCATTTGCGAGCTTTCGTGTGTATGCATTCACAGAGCCAGTTTGGTGTAGCGGTTAAGAGCGCGGACTCTAATTTGGGAGAACCGGGTTTGATTCCCCACTCCTCCACGTGCAGCTGCTGGCGTGACCTTGGGTCAGTCACAAGTTCTCTCTGAGCTGTTCTCTCAGCCCCACCTACTCAAGGTGTCTGTTGTGGGGAGGGGAAGGGAAAGGAGATTGTAAGTCGCTCTGTAAGACTCTTTTGGGTAGTGAAGGGCAGGGTATAAATACAATCTCTCCTTCTTCTTTTTGGGTCAGTCACAAGTTCTCTCAGAGCTGTTCTCTCAAGGGCAGTTCTCGGGAGAGCTCTCTCGGCCCCACCTGCCTCACAGGGTGTCTGTTGTGGGGAGGGGAAGGGAAAGGAGATTGGAAGCCGCTCTGAGACACCTTTGGGTAGTGATCCCAAATCCAGTCTCTTCTTCACTTTTCTTCTTCACATTGCCCAGAACTCTTTCAAGAAGGGTACGACAACATCAGGGGGGGAAATAGCTGGAATCTAAATTATGTCCTGGAGACATCCCTGGTCTTTCTGGCGTGGTATGTTTTGATCTCTTCGGCTGCCCAGATAACCACTGAAGGCTGATCATACTGAAACCCCCAACCTTACCATAACCCCGGGGAAGGGGACAAGCAGAATGACAGTTGCCAACTCCAGCTTGAGAAATTCCTTGAGATTGGAGGGGGCGGGTTGCCAACTTCCAGGCAGTAGCTGCAGGTCCCCCAGTATTCCAAGCGATCGCCAGGCAATGCAATAGCTACGTACGGGAACTATGTTATTCTTCTGTAAATTGTGCTTGTGAGAACTTGGGATATTCATACTGGAGGGGCAGTATTGCATGTATGGACAACGTCCTATCCCCTCTTAGAAAAAGCTTTTGGGAGACAGGGTGTGTGAAGGCCGTCAGGCTCCGTCAGGGGTGGAACGGACGTGTCCTTTCTACAGTCTCCAAGCGCAAACTTTGAGATTGTATTGTCTGGTGGACCTCCTGATGGCACCTGGTATTTTTGACCACTGTGTGACCAGGGCCGACTCCTGCTTATTTTGCACCATGGCGAGGATCCTTTCAGGATCCCCCCGTGCGCCCACCAATTTTCAAAAATAAATACATTTTAAGAAGAATGAAAAACACAAATAATCAAGAAACTCCCAGAGTACGGGGCCAGGTGCAGTTTGGTAGCCCTAAGGGCCGTCCCGCTCTAGGCAATCGCCTAGTTCGCCTAGTGAGTGAGCTGGCCCTGTGTGTGACAGAGCGTTGGATTGGACGGGCCATTGGCCTGATCCAGCATTAGCTTCTCTTATGTCCTTAGGTCTGAAGACTTATCTGCTAAGTTTTGAAAATGACAAACTCTTTTGAAAGACTGAGCCACTATATTCTGAAAACAACAAATGGATGATGTTTTTCGCCACAGGCACTGTGTTCCTTTAAATATATTGTATGAGAAAGGAAATGTTTGTGGACTGGACATATATGGATTAGACTCTGGAATTCTTGTATCTGTAGGGTACATGGATATTAAGTAGGGCTCTTTTTTGTAGCAGGGACTCCTTTGCCTATTAGGCGACAGACCCCTAACGTAGCCAATCCTCCAAGCGCTTACAGTAGCCCCCTGTAAGAAGAGCTCTGTAAACTCTTGGAGAATTGGCTACATTAGGGGTGTGTTGCCTAATATGCAAAGGAATCCCTGCTACAAAAAGAGCCCTGAAAGAGATTGAGTTTATACCCCGCCCTTCACTACCCGAAGGTGTCTCAGAGCAGCTTACAAACTCCTTTCCCTTCCCCCTCCCCACAACAGACACCCTGGGAGGTAGGTGGGGCTGAGAGAGCTCTGACAGAGACCGCTCTTTTTCCAAGAACAGATGTGCCAGAACTATGGCTTGCCCAAGGTCATCCAGCCAGGTGCACGTGGAGGAGTGGGGAATCAAACCCGGTTCTCCCAGATTAGAGTCCGCGCACTTAACCACTACACCAAACTGGCTCTTCTACACTTGTGACTGACCCATGGTCACTCCAGCAGGTGCATGTGGAGGCGTGGGGAATCAAACCCGGTTCTCCCAGATTAGAGTCCGCACACTTAACCACTACACCAAACTGGCTCTAATAGGTGTTGAATATTTATATTCCTTGTAATTTGTTCACAGGTGTTTATTTTTTCACTCTTGCATTTAGCCTCCAGGGGGTGGCGGGAGATCCCCTGACAGAAATCCGTTCCCCTGGAGAAAATGGCCGCTTTGGACGGTGGACTTCGTGTTATTATACCCCACTGAAATCCCTCCCCTCCCCAAACTCCGCCCACCTCAGGCTCCCCCCAAAAAAATCTTCCAGGATTTCCGAATCCAGAGACAGCAACCCTCATCGTCCACCCTCTGAAGCACCCAATTTTCTCCTGGGAACCCATCTGTCATCTGGAGACCAGCTGTCTTTCCAGGGGATCTCCAGGCCACACCTGGAGACTGGAAACAGAGTTCTGTTCCCCCGGAGCAACAGCGGCTTTGGGGGCTGGCGTCTATAGCTCCCTCCCCTCTCCAAACTCCGCCCTGCTCAGGCCACGCCCCCCAAGTTGTGGGGTTTTTTTTGTTTCTCTAAGGATGTTAATAGCAGGGGTCATTTCCTGCGGGAGTGCACAGGAGCGGAGCTCCGGCAGTAAAGAGCCCAGGGGGTGGGGACATGCAACAAGCCCCACCCACTGCTCCCAGCAGCCCCCAGTCAGAGCAAGAAGCAGCCAGGTAAGCTGCAGAGCCCCCCCCCCGCCCAAAACAGTCCAGTGGCACCTTTAAGACCAAGTTTTATTCAGGTACAAGCTCTCCCTCCTCTGTGAGGGCAGATCTGTGCATCCCCCCTCCAATAGCTAGCAATCCAAAAGAGTCCAGTAGAGCCTGAGCGGTGGGTGTCGCCTTCTGACACACTTCCGGTGATGTCAGGGGGTGTGGCCTATGCAAATAAGTTATGCTAATGAGGTATGCTAATGAGCTCCTGCACCTCTTTTTCTACGAAATGACCCCTGGTTAATAGGAACCAAGAACGACTTATTTAGATTAATCTTGTTTATGCAAATATTTTAGTTGGGTTTCAGTTTCTTTTATGAAGGGCGTCAAAGTTAGCATGGATCAAATCATTAAGGTCAAGTCTGGCTGGAATTTGAACCCCAAGATATCCTCCATTTGACTTCCTTCCAAGCAAAGGAGAACTGGGAGCCTAGTTGTTCTTTTGTTTCTCTAAGGATAATAGGAACCAAGAACAACTTAGGCCCCGGTCACACGGGCCAGATAATGC